ACTGGTGGGTTTTCAGAGGCAGTTAATTGCACGGGAGGAGATTGCCCATCTTTCTCCTGCGGAGCAGCTGGTAGCCTTGAACTGTGTGCCTTCAAGATTGTAGTGCAGTTTCTTTCCACTACATCTGTTAAGTGTGCTTCCCTGGGTTTGGCCCATATGATTACCTTTGTGTATTTATGTGTGCATCTGTGTGAGTGTATTGTCCCTCCAGAGGCCAGGATCCCCATAACCCCCTTCTCCCTCTGCTCAGCTATCAGCCAGCATGACTGGGACAGTTCTGGTCCATCCTACCCATATCCCCTCAAACTTGGAACTGACAGGAGTCTGGACTCTGGGAAGGAATGGATTCAGAGATTAGCCTACGGGAATAGTCCTTCTGTGGCCTGGATCTCTGGCCTCTGAGTTTCTCTTCTACCGCATTGGCCCAGAGCCTGAACCTTTGCCAAGATCCCAGGACCTCAGCAGGAAAGGCCTATGAAGAGGAGAAAGCTTATTGAAAGGGGGCTGAAGCCTTTGGATTCTCAGTGGGTGCTATGAAAGGCAGGCTGTAATCAACTTCCAGGCCTGGAGTTATTATTTTTTTTTTAATCCTAATTCAATGACCTAGCGGACAGAAAGTCATGCTCCCAAGCCAAAGGTGGGTGACTCTACTCTGCAGCCCTAGGGCCTGCCCTTAATTGTTTTTGGTGAAACATCCTTCTGGATCGTGGAACCCTGGTCTGTCCACTTGCCATACAGAGGTAACTTGTGGTTGCTGTGAAGCCAAACACTGTGACCACTGATGAGTCAAATGCGAGAATGGTTACCCATGGTGGACAGTGTTTGGTGGAGCTCCCCAATTAAAACAAGTTGGAAGCAGGAATGGCATCCACTTCCGTAATAGCTTGCCTCTGGAAACCCTATGAACCTGGAGAAAAGACAAAAGTTATACAGTTGTCCAGGTCTTTTGTTCATAGGGTCGTTATGAGTCACCTACAACTCAACGGCACTTAACAACAACAACACAATTCATTGAAGTATCATTGACATGCACTAAACTGTACGTATTTAAAGTGTACAGTTTGCTCACTTTTGACGTATGCAACACTTGTGAAACCATCACAACAATCAGATCATGAACATGTCCACCAAACCGACCTTCCTTCAAGCCCCTTCTTTCTCCCTCTCTCCCCTCTCTCCCCCCATGATTTCCAGGCAACTGCCAACCGACTTTTTACCACTATGGTTTAGTTTCTATTTTCTAGAATTTCTAAAGCTGGGACTGCCTGAGAAGTGAGGAAGGGGTTTTGAAGATAAGAGTTAGTTGTTGATCTCTCCCTACTGCTTGTTGATCTCTCCCTACTGTCTGTGACTTTTGCTTTGAGATTCGCCCACTTTTATGTGCATAACAATAGTTGATCCTGTCTCCCATTGAGTTGCCCTTGGACTGCTCTGGTGGTGTCCTCCAGGGTGAGTGGTGCTGCTAACGTGCCAGCCATTCCTTGGGAGAAAGATGGGTCCTTGCCTTTGGTGCTGTTTTCACCCTCAACACCCCACTGGAGAGGGAGCTGTGAATTGGTCCCCACTGTACAGCAAATGAGTTTTTTCAAGTAGTCCATTGTATAACGCTTGACCACAATTAGTCATCCATTCGCCCAGCAGGTACCTTTCATCTCCTTCATCTCCGCATATGTATGTATTTTTAAATGTGTAATGTTACTTTTCTTCAGCAACTGCTTTTTGGAAAGCAAAAGTCATAGTGTGTCTGAAGTTGGCCTGACTCCAAGGGCACATGACTTCTGCAGCCAGCACACACTCAGCCCTCTGCCCTTTCTTAAAAACCTCCACTGCCCTGAAATCCATCAGCTTCTTCCAGGGAGCCTTCCTAGACTACTAGCTTTCCTCTATCCAAGTCCCCACTGCAGGATAGCAGGAAGTCTCTCTCTGAGCAACATTAGGGCTTTTGTCCCTTCATGCTGAACCACCCAGTAGGCAGAGCTGCAAGAAACAGAGAAGCCAGGAGACCCGGGTGACTTATGGGGCTGATTGTGGGCTGTGAAGATTACTTCTGGGGCCCTTTGTGGAAGGAAGAACCAAACATGCAAAGTGATGCAAAGCAATACAAACGGAATTTGGGCCAGGCTGTTTGTTCCCAGGGCCCCTCCCTCCCTCTCTTCCTGGGGTCCTTTGTGGAAACTTCCTACCTCTAGGCAAGCCCATCCCAGAAGTCTGTGCATTGTTAGCTTCCTGCCTTGCAGGGACCAGATTTTAAACATCCCAGAAGGTATCTGTCACATTTTGGGCCTTCCTATCCATTGCCTCTCTGTCCCCGTCTTTTCTATTCTTCTTCTCTTCTCTCAAGATGATAAGAGCGGCCAGAGGCTCCCCTTCCTGGTAGATAGAACTCAGGTCTTGGGGAAGTAAGTACCTCACCACGTGAACTCTCAGTCCCTGAGAAGTGATATCTGCAAGGCCACCCAGCCAGTTAGGGACAGAAGGAAGCCACTTAACACCCAGGTGAGGGTTCTTTACTCTTCCTGCTCTGACTCCTGGATGCACTTGTCAATCATTTTCTCCTGAACCAAGACCTGTACTCTTTCCTATTTTACAGTAGTAAAGGTATCTGGGGAGTCCCTTGATGGTGCAAATGATGAATGCTCGTGGCTACTAACCAAAGGTTGGAAGTTCAAATCCCAGAGGGGCCTTAAAGGCTTGGTGGTCTGCTTCTGGAAAATCGGTGATTGAAAACTCTATGCAGCACGGTTTTACTCTGGCACACACGAGGTTGCCATGAGTCAAAGTTGACAGCAGCTGGTTGATCTGTCTGCAGAGGAAGTTCCACATTTCTCCAGACACAAGTCCTTGAGACAAATCTGAGTCAGAAGTCTGGGCGACTGTGTTCAAAAGGCTGAAGTCACTGGCAATGTACAGCGAGAAGGAAGTATGGGAGTGGAAGAGGGAAGGCGTGGTCCTGGGCTGATGCTGCAGAAACTAGACCTGTCCATCTTCTTGGTATCTCCAAGATCCTGTGTTCACTGTAGCTCCAGGCAGCCCCAAAGTCACGTGTCCACTGCAGGGAACTTCTTCAGTCCAGCTCCAGCATCTCTTCGTCCTCCAGGAAACCTTCCTGAGAAGTGATTTCTTGTGGTCCCTTTCCACTGTGATTTTTTAGCAATATTTTATTATGCTTTTAATGAAGATTGGCATGATAGTTTAGGTTCCTATTCAACAGTTTGTATAAAGTTGCTCAGGTCCATCAGTTACAGCCTTCACAATGTGTGAACATGCTCACTGTCTCTGTCGTGGTCATTCTGCATCTGCTGTGGCTGTCTTGTAGTGTGATATTCTCCATGCTTTAGCTATCTTCCTGGACTGTTGGCATCTGGAGAACAGGATCCATGTATACGTCATACCTATATCTCCAGTGCCTCACACAGGGCCTGGTATTCAGCAGATAGACAATGACTGTTTATTGGATACAATAAGTGAATAAATAATGGCAGTAGAGAGTGACAGTCAATGGTGTTGGACAGTGATAATACATGATGATTTATTATGATCAGGATGCTGGAAGGCCATGGATGGTAGCTGATGCTTGCAGGAGGTTTTGAGTGAAAGATATTGGTAGACGGTGGTTCTGAGAAGTAGCGAGTGAAGTATGATAGTAGATATTGATGACGGGAGGTGGTGGATGAAGGATGGTGGCAGATGGTGGTGGGAGAAGTGCTGGCTGAAGGGTGAAAGTAGATGATAATGGGTAAAGTATAATACTAGAAAGTGGTGATGGGAATGGTGGGTGAAGGACAGTAGTAGGTTGTGGTGGGAGGTGGTGGATGAAAGGCGAATGGAGGTAGATGATAGTGGTAGGAGGAGGTGGGTGAAGATAGATGGTGGTGAGAGGTGGTGGTGAAGGTAGATGGTGGTGGAAAGAGGTGGGTGAAGGTAGATGGTGGTGGGAGGAGGTGGGTGAAGGGTGCAGGTAGATGGTGGTGGGAGGTGGTGGGTGAAGGTAGATGGTGATGGGACATGGTGGGTGCAGGTAGATGGTGGTGGGAGGTGGTGGGTGAAGGTAGATGGTGATGGGAGGTGGTGGGTGAAGGTAGATGGTGGTGGGAGGAGGTGGGTGAAGGTAGATGGTGGTGGGAGGAGGTGCGTGAAAGTAGATGGTGGTGGGAGGAGGTGGGTGCAGGTAGATGGTGGTGGGAGGAGGTGGGTGCAGGTAGATGGTGGTGGGAGGAGGTGGGTGCAGGTAGA